TGCAATACAGGAATATGAAGCAGAATTTGCATTTAGCTGACAATTGTCAAACTGAAAGTACTGATAAATTATATAAGGTGAGACCATATCTAAACTTACTAAATCTCATAACTTTCTATTACTGGAAATATAAAAGTCTCTTTTAGATTTCAAATGCGAGATTGCATTATTCCTTTTGTAACCTCCTATTGAGAGTGTAGAATTAGCCAGAAATAGATCAGCAACAGAAAGACCTAGAAAATTCAGCATTCAAAACCATTGCATGGAGATGCTAGACATTTTATCGTAAAGTCCGTTGATAACAAAACTTTGTTGTAAAGAGTACCATAGCCAGACTGTTTATAGATGGAAAGTATGTAATGTAGCTTTACATCATGATTGTAATCAAGCTTTTCATGCTTGAATCTTTCAAATGAAATAATCTGTATTTGTAAAGAAATACATGTATATTTTAATATTAAATTAATTACAAGTAAAGTAATTGTAGATTTATAAAACGTTATACAGCTAAAAATTAATCCTGCGCTCCACTCAAAAGAACGTCACACGAGTACAATCCTACCACTAAAATCTGTAGTCTTATTCCGCTGACGTTGTGCGAACGCACACTCGCTTTTTCCTACAGTAAGAGCATTTTTTTATTTCAATGTAAATTTATGTTATAAATGCTTAATTTAATATTTGTTATTATTTTCATGAGAAAAGAAACATTCCTTGTAGTTGTGGCGGTTAATGGGTTAAGTAACGAGTTAATTAAGCAAGTTCCATTTATTAAAATGGAAACGTACAATTTAGTAATTTGAAGCTATAAGTACAAGTGTGAAAACAATGTAACGGAAACGACATCCATGAAACCAAGGAAAATTATTTCAAACGTTTTGAAATGGCTAATGTAGATACTCATTTAAGAACAATATGAGAAACAACGGGTTGGGGCAAATCTTCCAAATGCCAGGTAAATGGGCCAGCAACATATAACATGAGAATATGCATTGGGGAATTACATAATTTTTTTTCATTTTACCACATTTGGAGAACGAATGGGGAGAAAAAGCCTCAGTCCACAAAATTCATTTGGAGCCGAATTATATTGCCTATCACATTTTAGTGAGAATACCACTTGAAAGACAATTCTGTTTTTCAGAATATGGGAAACGGGAGAAATCAGCTATGCATATGTTGGGGCTCAAACCGTGGAACTACCACTAACATCAAGTTAACCACTTACATCACACAAAGGAATGTCCAATAATTTCTTACAGGTATTGATAAATAAACACATACGCATATTAGTTTATACAAAAATATCTAATGAGGCAGTTGAATGCGTGAGTTATAATTCTTTAAATGAGATAGCATTTGTTGTAATAGCAAAATAATAATTCTACTTTTTCGTTAGTTTTGCAGAGTTAAATCTCTTGAGAAGGAAGTAAACAAATTTAATACAGGTAGTTCTTATATGCCGAAAAAATTAAAAGCAAAATTAAAATAGCATATTAAAAATTAAATGGCAGTTTTACATATGTGAGAAAAAATTGCAAGACCAATTTATCACAGATTTGAAATAGATAATTATAATTTTGTTTATACATTTTAAACATAGAAATTGTTTTCTAGTACAGCAGCAATCAAACACACGGTAAAAACTTTACCATTTTAACTTCTGTTTACTTAAATAAGAGAAATTATTTTATTAGCTGCCTCTATTTTATTATTTTATTAGCTGCAAAATAAATCGCTTGACGAAAACAGTTTCATCGTGTCTATGGGAATAAAATTTTTCCAGATTGGAGTGAAATTGCTAAAGACTTAGAATGGAGATGAATCATATTGTGAATTTAAATATATATTTAACGTAATACATTAAAAAAAACGCTTTAAGAAAAGCTTAATTCCATCAGATTTATACATTCTTTCGTTATTTTTAAAGCCTTTTGCGCGTTTCAAGGTTTATTGTGTATTTCTGCGTATCCTGTGTTTGCTTGGCACAAATTTTTGCGTCATTTATCTTCTCCCAAAACCAGACTTTTCTTCCTGAAACAGCAGCATATTTTGCTCTGTTTCTGCCATGGTAGTTTTTTGCGCCATTTTGCTATATGCAATAGAAGTACAGTCGCCAAAATGCGAACGCAAAAAAACGATGAAGAATTAGTGAAACGATGAAAGAAAAAATATTCCAAGAAGTTCAGCTTCTGCGTGCTGTAAGCTAATGTAGCGATATATATCAGCCAGGGAAAGTATTTTTATTTTATTAAACATTTTGGGCTATGCATGACCAACACAATTCAGGTATTCAAAATATTTGGTTAATTTTGGAAGAAAATTCATAAACAGGGTCTTTTTAAAGGAAGCGAAGATAAGTTCTTAAGTGTGACAAGAGACAAGCAGTCTTTAAAGTTCCTTTGACGCAGCTGGCCTTTCCGAGTAAATGGCTTTCGATTAGGTAGCCGATTACTCGTCACTGGGTCTCGTCGCAAAGACATAATAATGCTCTTGACAGAGCGAAAGTAGAAAACTTTTGGCAGAAATGGAATAAAAAAAAACCCTACAAGACAGAAATTCTCTCTAACTAACACAAACTCTGGAGCTGCGTTTATTATTTTTGTTCAAGATTTCTTGTCGAAACGTTTCCGAATTCTCATTTGCATGAAATTTTCAGAGAATCTCTCAGTTGACAAGATTACTCTGATATTTTCGGATATAATGTTGATAGGCCTGGTAAAATTTCCATGAGAATTCCCAGGCTCCTACTTGGAACATGATCGAAAGGTCTGCATCTACAGAGCGGTCGGCGATATGCAGTCGATGCGTAAGAATACACGTACAACGAGATGCGTGGGAACTTTGAGGAAGGAATTCATAAATTCCAATTTTTCTCAGAAATCAGAGTTCTCCTTCGGACCATCACGAAAAAAAAAAACTAAGACTTAAAAAGGGTACGTAATTATAGGTCACATTCCACTTTTTCGAGAATTGCTATTTGGTCATCAGAATAGCTAAAAACGTCACTTGTTTCTCCTATGATTAGTGCAGAACTTTCGAAAACCTCGCACCCTCTCAATTAAGTGAAATGGACTCGACCGTTTGCAGAAGAGTAATCACAGCGCCATTTTGCGATTAACGTTCAAAAGGACAAAGAGTGTGGCAACTGCCTGCTCGAAATTTGGTGTAAGATGCAAATATTGTAGCATAAGATTCAACACCGCTTTGAATCATAGTATTATGCACGAACCGATTACGCTAAAAGAGCTATCCGAATGCAAGCGCAATATGTTTTCTTGGTTACTGAAGTTTCTACTTCGTATAGCCTTGATCAAATATACAAGCGCTGCTCATTACTAAATGCAGATGGTACCAAGGTACCATCAATATTTAGTAATGAGTATCTATTTGTTTGTTGATGTATAGAGCTTAGTGGTTAATGACATTGTGCATTAATAACTACAAAGTAACCAAAAACGTTCTTGCCGTTTCTGATATGACATTGAAAGAGTGAAACCCAACATAAAAATAGTCGCCAAACCTGGCGATGAACTGGTTAGGATGGGAGTCCGGACATTGACCAAGAGTATAAAGTCGCGTTGAATTGGGATTTTAAACACTGAAATGGACTCGTCAAAGGTGCTCGTTCGGAGTTGTTCGCTGTATGATTTTAAAGTGGGCCTGTCAAGAGCAGAATCAAGTCGCCAAATTTGCCAGACCTTTGGGGTTGATGCTGTTAACAAACGAACCTCTAGGCAATGGTTCCAGAAGTGCAGGTCAGGGAATATGTCTCTTTGTGATGCATCACGCAGCGGTCAGACTCAACAAGTCAGGTCAAGCGCTGGAATATGAGGCCCTGAGAAGAGACATTGAGAATGACAGTAGCCAAACATGCGGTGAGCTTGCTGCACACTTCCAGATATCTGATGAAACGATTAGACTCCACTTGAATCGCATAGGAAAGGCATGCAAGCTGAACAAGTGCGTAATCCACTCACTGTCTGGTGAAAACAAGCAACAGCGTGTCACCGCCCATTTGTCAATGCTTACTCGCTACCGCAATGCATCCATATTTGATAGAGTACTCACCAGCGATGAAAAGTGGGTCCATTACGACACACCCAGGGCCTTCCAGACATTGGCTGTCACCACTGGCTCCTGTGCCTCACAATACACTACGAGACCTTCTCTCCACCCACGCAAGATCATGCTGTGTATCAGGTGGACTAGTCGCCAGGTGGTGCAGTATGAACTCTTGCCAGTGGGCTAAACCATCACGGCAGGCGCCTGTACTCGCAGCAGTTGGAACGTGTGCATCAGGCACTGATGCATAAAGAATCATTGCTCAATCGTAAGGATGTACTGATGCATGAAATTCCCTCTATGACAATGCCAGGACACATGTGGCTCGTGAGGCCAGGGACACCATCCAACGACTGGGCTAGAAAACACTATCCCATCCATCATATTCTCCAGACCTCGGGGCCAACAGACTTTGTGAGAAATCATTCAACAACCGGATAGACCTCGAAAAGGTCCTCATGGACTTCTTTGCGTTCAAGACTCCTGAGTTTTACCGCGATGATGTCGCACAGCTAGCCACTCGTTGGTAAAGGACTCTGGATGCCGGTAGTGATTATTTTTGAGGATTAGCGGTGATTATTATTTATTTTATGACTTTTTCTTTCTGACTTTCCAAAACGGCAAGAACGTTTTTTGGTTACCTTATAGCATTCAGTTAAGGTCTACATCCTTTCTGGCTATTTTTCTCTGCTTCTCAGGTAAGGTTTGAATCTGGAGCACTTTGGATCGTAGCATGATGCTCAACTCGTATTTCAAGAAATAACAATAGTATGATTGACCTTTCTTACTTCATATAATTTTAATTTTATTTGAGAAAAATCCATGATTATTATTATGATTCTTCATTTTCAGATAACTTAGTTCGATGTATAAAATGTTTATGTGAAACTGCACAGCTTTAGAAAACTTGAAACTTCTCAACTTATGTGCGAAAATGGCTGCGCCCATATGTTTATCGCGTATACTGGTGTTTACGTTTTATTATTATACAAAATAAAGCTTCTATTTGAACTAAAAGCTTTATTTCTTCTTAGAAACGTCATATTGAAAATGGGTTTGAGAGATCGCTTTTATTTGTCTGGTCGTTTTGATGAGGCTGACAGTAAAATTGAAATTACTATAGAAACCTACATTTGCTTGTTTGTGTATACTTATTGCGATTTAGACGTAGAGTTATGCATTGTAGATGCTGATGATACATACCAGTGTTTTGTACCGGTATGTGCTTTAAATAATATCAAATATGAGTATATCAAAACAAAACTAGCAGAGGAGCAAGTAAGATAACAAATTATTAACCTTAGCTTATTAATGTAAAATTTTTGTGCGTGACTGGTATGATATCTGTTCTGTGGTACTGTAAATAAATGTATCTTTTTATATAATACTTTTTAAGCATAATTGTAATCCTAGAAGTCAGTAGCATACAAAAAACATTAACTATGCCAAATTGCAATGATGAGCATAACCTTAGAAATACGTAAAATTAAGACCTGTAAAAGAATTTTATTTATGAATTTTTAAAAAACATTTTCCATGATAGATTTGTTATAATAAGAATAATAATAAAGAATGACACACTAAACCTTGTGAGCATGAAATGTTTTCTAAGAGATAAGAATGATGAATTTAATTTAAAGGAAGGCAGTTGTGTTGTCTAAAATCTGTTCAATCAGATTCTCGGCATTATTTTCATATCTCCAATTCACAAGTTCACATAAATAAGAAATTTAGCTTAACATCCTAATGCATTCTTCCTTTTCCCCTGCACTTGCACATTAATTCCATGGAGTAATTTCCTGTTTAATACAAAGCTGATGTGGAAAATACATGGGTTACTATTTTTATTTTTTATTTGGTCTTGAAAATTAAGATGTAGACTAGTCTGCAAAATGCACAGTTTGAAAACAGCTGATGGTCAAAAATCTTTTTAACAAAATGTAAAGTTTTTTTTTTTTTTTTCTCCTTAACAAAAATAAATCTTTTAAATTAATTAAAAATTTACTAAGTATTTATCAAAATATATATAATAATAATAATAATGATAGAAAGGAAAAAAAATTAATTTACATTTATTTTTTTGTTTGAAATCCAAAGGCTGGTATCTCAGATTTCTGTTGGTTACATTTTGTAACTCAAATATATTGAGTATATATATATTCAAATATATATCTTATATATATAAGCTAAATTTTAAATTTTCAGATTGACATAAATTTCAAAAAATTCTAATAAGTTTTATTAACCACTAAATAACTTAAAAACAAAGTAGTGGAAACAATTTTCAAGTAGAAAAAACTTGAGAATAAATAATGACAATTTATTCTCATTCTTTTATTTACTGAATTTTTCGTTGATGCATGCAGAAAGAATGCATGTAATTGTAAATAATTATAAATTTCTTTATTTCTTACTACAGCTTTGAGCTACAAAACCTTGTGGTGTTAAAATTTTTATATCAAGTTTTTAAGCTTAGAGAAAATTTACTAGAAACTATTTTCATCATGAATTGTAGATCCTGTCCGGTCAATCTGATTCTTTTCTTAAACTTAGTACATTTCAATTATGGGAAAAAATTCTCGTTACATGTACTCCTAAACAAAGTAATTATTTTTATTGCAGGAATTCATTACTGAAGGTATTTATCCTTAGACAGGTACAAGAAAAGTTAATAAAATCTGTACCTTCAAATCTCTGAATAATTTTCATATCACCAAAATTAAATTCATCTGTAGATTTCTGGGATGTTATTGATGTTTTATTTTAATGGTAATGAAAATAAAGTAAAATTGGACTCTTTAAAATTTTAAAAATTTTTGAAAATTCTTGTCATAATAATGATAATTATTTTGTGAGAAATGTATTCATGGGCCATGTGAAATTGTTTTGGGGGTGTTGTAGGTTGCCAGTTTGGGATCACTGGCATAGACATTACGTAAGTGTATATGGCAAATATTTTTGATGATACATACTCTGCAGTTTAGTGAAGTTGTATGGTATTTATAATTTATTTCATAGATTTTTAACTGAGTTATTTCTGTACATAATTTGGCTATATGGTTGTTTTGAATATTTTTTTAGTTTAATTTGATTTAATATTTTATACTATTTCAGTTATGTTGAAATGTAGTTTTAATTGTTTAGGATTTTAACTTTGCATTTCCTGCAATCCAAACAGAGCAAGGAAAGACTGTTATAGCTGGATTGTGTGCTGTTTTAAGATGGGCTATAAAAGCTCATATTGCAGTTCATCCAGATCATTATTCAAAAGCTCTTCTGGTAATTTTTTTAAAATTTACTTAATTTATGTACTTATTTAGCTTTCCTTTGTTATTCATGTAAAAAAAATATATATATTTTAAGTACAATATGCTTTATATGTAAAAATATATTTATGGGTACCCCTTGGTGAACATTGGAGATTTTTAGGGGTACATGGATACCGAGTTTATGCAAGTCTTTTGACTTGTTATTTTGGCTTTGTGTAGTGGTGATTTTTGTGCCAAAATTGCCGCTACACAAAGACAAATTAACAACTCAAAGAATTGCACAAATTCGGTATCTATGTACACATTGACCTATTTTCAGTAAAAAAAAAAAAATCAGAGAATTGCACAAACTTGGCATTGTGCACTCCCTTGACTTTATCCATGTACACATCAACCTATTTTCATTTAAAAAACATCAGACAATTGCACATACTTTCCATTGCACACTCGCTTGACTTTGTATATGTACACATTGATCTTTTTTCACTTAAAAAGTAAAAGGAGCAGCCAATAAAAAATATATAATCTCAATAAACTGCATTTTAAATCAAACAATCAAATAACATAAAAAAGGAAATTCATCTTAACACTACACAAAGGAAATATCCACTTACCTTATTTAGAAATTTTCCGGTCAAACAAAATTCCTTAATAGCATCCAAAAACTTCTTAAAATTCTCTGAACTAGAATCTGTATGCTGGCATCACCACATAAGTTCACAAAGATAAGAGTCAAAAACATCCTCCATACTGCTGATATCCTCCGATGTTCGACCATATGCATTTCCTTTCTACAAACAGGGCACTTATAATAGCTGCTAAGTAAACCTTCATTTACACACCAGTCAATCAATCTTTTTTACCCTTTCTTTTCAAACTGTACAGAAACTTCAAATTAATCTTATCGCATTTAGCTGTTCTACCATCTAAACCACAAAACAAGCTTCCTAACCACCACGCACCACAAGCCCTTGCAAGTCTCCCATCACACAACCGATTACCGCAATCACGCAACCAATTACGTCATAATTGGGTTTCCATAACATTCAACTACTCAGGTTATCATAAATGAAACAACAACTTGGCGACAAATGAAGCAACAACTTGATGATAAATGAAACAACTTCACAATAATTCCAGGTGTGGCACCCTTCAATCTACTCTAACTGATTTATCATGTGCAGAAGGTTAAAAATTATAAATGCAGTAGGTTCTCAGTTTTATAACTTATATTGACTTCAAAAAGTATTCACCCTTCAATCTACTCTAACTGCTTTATCATGTGGAGTAGGTTAAAAATTTTAAATGCAGTAAGTTATCAATTTTATAACTTATATTGACCTCAAAAAGTGTTCATATAAGCAAAAATTTGAAAATGAAAGTGGCATTTAAAAGGGAGAGTACATGCACTCCTTTATATTTGCTAAAGATTCTGAAATAATTAATTTTTGTTTATTACATAATAATGTTTTTAATTAGTCATGTATAGTAACAAAAATGTATGATTCCTTAAACTTTCTTTCTGCAATAATCTAAAATTTTTGTCTGCCCTCAAAAAAAAAAAAAAAAAAAAAGGAAGGAGATGCATTTCTGGCAGTTTTTATGTGGTTTCTGTAAGAGTAAGTCTTGTGGTGACTGCCTTTATCTTTACCTGTTAAATTAACATTTACTATTCATGTTTAGTTCATTATCGCTTATTAGATCCTTGGATTTTATTCTGAAGCAGTTGCGTGTTCTATACATTCAAAAAAATCTTCCAAGGTCAGAGCTGCATAAACTTGAATGTTTCTTATACAAAGTCCATGTTCCTACTTGCCTTGAATGTCTGGAAATGAAAAATGTTTTTCAAAAAGGTCAGACAAGATCAGAGCTTTTTTTGTAAAAGTCGGAGAAATTAAAAATTTACCTATTGATTCTCTCAAATAATGAAAAATTCATGTTTTAAATAGTATACTGTAAACAAAATTGCCTTTGTTTAAAAGAAAACAAATGAAGAGTTACTGTAGTCCTGTATTATGTTAATAATTTTAACATATGCAGGTATTTTACATTTTTATGTATTTTATTTTGCTCATAATGTAAATAAAAGTACAACAAAAAGCATTTTGCATCTTCATCTACAACACCAATCACAGTTTTGAATTGTAACTGAAAATAACAAATTCATTTACTACCTTTTACCATTCACTTAAGAATAATTATGTAAATAAAAATTACAGCTCAGTATCTACTGACAATGGATATAGAGCTATAGCTTATAATACTTTGCAATGTTATACTTATTTAACATTTTTTAAACTGTACAACTATCTTGAACTTGAAGCTACCTTGTTTTTAACAAGAAGGTATTAAATATGTTTTCCCCAAATAATTAAAATAAAGGCTTTAGTGTTTTTTTTTCCATCTTTTAATAAAAATATTTGTTTTGCAGAAAGAAGTGTTTCTTTTAGTTAAAATAGCTCTTTTTTTAATTACATTTCTCATTTGATTATGTCCTAATCTTACAATCCTTGTTAATGTGTAATACATATTTATCTGTAGGGCTTCCGAGGTGGTTGTCTAGTAGCGTGTGCAGAAGTAAGCACTCTTACAGTTATTTTTCTTTTACTAAAGAAAATTATGAATTGTTTCCATCATATAATGAAGAAGGTATGTTTACTCTTTCCACTTTTTAATTTCAGAGCTCTGTTTGGACAAAATTTTGCGAATTGCAATTACCTAATTCAGTAAGGGAAGTCTCATCTCTCATCAAGTAAGCAGTATTTTTATATTTGAAAAATTTTCTTGTAACATCAAAATGTATAGAGAAAATATATAACTTTTAGACTTTCAAAGCAGAATGCTAATTTCTTTAATGCTAAAGAAAATCAAGAGACAGATTTGTAAACATTACAGTAAAATCTGCTGTACTTGAAAGAAGTTATCTTTTGTAATAATTGCTATATATGCTTATTTATAAATAAGGTTTTGATGTTAACCCAATTTGTGGGATAAAATGAGAGACTTTTAGTCCTTTCCAATATGAAAATGAATAAATCTTCATTTTTAAACATTCTTTTCAAAACATGAAATGTTTCATCCAGATTTGAATATATTTTTTCCATTTTTGAATAATAAAAGTACTTTTACTGATAATTTTCCTTTTGAATATAAATTTTGTGTAGAACTATTTGATGTTAATCGTACATTAATTTCTGTAATAAAATATTAAGTACAGTCTTTCAGGAACTTTTGATTCAGAATTACTGTGAATAGATTGTAGTATTAATTTAATATATACTCTTCATTTACAGTAATTTTAGTGAGGAATTAGTATAATATTTTTATGCTATGTTTTTCATATTTGGAGAAAGAAAGGCATCCTTTCAAGTGATGTTATGGTGTAACAATTATCATATCCTGTTTATTACTGAAAAGCCCCATTTTTGACTGTAGGCCACTGTGCAATGAGTTTTCCAAATCTCCAGAATAGTAGAAATTTATAAAATAGTAGAAATTGATGAAAGCCTTACAAAGCACAGCACAGAAATGAAGCAGGTCGAATACTTCGGCAGCAGTGGATTTATGTGTGGTGGATAGTGCAGAGAGATTGATGAATGTTTTATTGTAAGAATTGCAGACAGAATTATGGCTCAGAATTCCACAGAATGATTGGTCCAACTCTGGCAAGATCTCTGCCAACTTTCATGGTTAGTGGAATAATACATACTCAGGGTAAAATAAAGAGTCAGAACAACTGTAGAAAATGAATACTGTTTGTTGTCTGTTAATGTTATTTGACTGTGCTTATCAGAAACAAGTCATAACACACATGCCAATAAAACAAATGCTGCAATCTATAACAGCTACTACATGCAGGAGAAAAAATAAAGGACAAGGCAAGAGCTTTCAATATCGTTGAATAATAAGTGCCTGTTTAACAAGGATATTGATCAGCACAATTGTACAGTTGCTTAGTGTTTCAAGAACAACAATCTTGGAAATTATAGCTGTTTATATTATAATTCAACTGCCTCATCTGCAACCGTGAGTGTAAACATGCATGTGCCATTCATACCGAATTATTCTCAAAATAGGGTGGAAGGACAGAGACTTTCTTTCCCCTTGAGCATATAAATTCCCTTTTATTGGAGAAGAAAAGGCCTTCACATGGCCTTTCACACCGCAGCAAGTGATAACACCTCTTTTGGAACCAGTCTATGTGTTTTAGCAGAATGCCAGCCAAAGTTGCATTTGAGATAGCCGAACTATAACATTACATAATACCACTGTTTTCAAAGAGTAGCGAGTGAAAGTTGAACTGTCTCGAACTATTGCAACAGAAGTGTATGTAGAGCTAAGTTCTTATGTTTCTAAACTTATTCCTGCCAATACCATTATTTATTCTTATATTTTGTTTTTGCTATTCATTATTTATTTATTTATTTATTTAAGATGAACTGATAATGCTGAACCCTATTTTCATATGGACATTTTCCATGCTTTCTGATAATTCATCCAGCCTTGACAAGAATCGTCAGGCAAAACACTATGTCAATTGTAAAATTTAGATACTACTAAGTATCTGAATTTTACAAAAATGTATTTATTTGGGTACAGTTGGTATAATGCATGCCATCTGTTATGTTGAAATTTGAGGGTCACGTTTGTGATTTCTCCTTGTTGTGATTAGTGAGTTTTTTTTTGTTTTTGTTTCTTGCAATGAATTGTTATGCCATTCTGCAATTTGCCTGCTAATGAAAAAGAAAAGTGTTGTATTTTTTTCAGAAATGTGGCATTTTGCCTAACAGTAGAAATGTGCATTCCATGAAGTTGATTTGTGCAATTTTGTTATTTTAAGTTAAAATAGGTTGATGTGTGGATGATGGGAGAGGGGTGTCAAGTTGCTCTGCGATGCCGAGATTTCTGAAATTCTGTGATATTTTTATAAGTTAGAACAGATCATTATGCATATGTGCAGAGGACTTGTTTTGTTACTGGATATTTTTTGTTTTTGTTTTTTTGGAAGCCCAGTGGAGCAGTGGCTAGAACATTTCGCAGCAGCACCACAAGTCTGGGGTTCGATCCCTGGGCTTTGCATGGTTGGCTCAGCCTTTCATTCCTTGAGTGGGTCAATAAAATGAGTACCAAGTTCAGTTGGGGACTATACACCAGGCATCCTGTGACAAGCTGACCACTTATTCAGAGCATATGTTCATGCACCCTGGGGTCCACGGTCAAGAAAGCAGATTTCGGGCACTGCAGGCCTTGGCTCAGTATGGCTGTTGCACCGTTTAGTTTAGTTGCATTTTTAATTTGGTTAATTTGTTGCTACTTTATGTAATTTTGAGTTTTTAAGTGTTTATTTTATATAATTTTGAGTTTTACATATATTTGTTTCTTACATTTTTATTGTCATTAGTTTATTGCTATTTTATGTAATTTTCACTGTACTGCTATTTTTAAAAATTCCTACTGTTTTTCATGTGTTAGGTTGACAAAAAATTAGTCATCAATGATTACTGACTTTGCAGGACAGTTGGGTGGATAATCAGAGGGTATCAAATTTTCCAATATGCATAAATCTGTGACAGAAAAAAACATAGCCACTGCTACTAAATTCAGATCTGCTAAATAGGGAGAATTTTAATCCAAAAGATTTATATTAGAATCCAAGCCCATGATTAAAAAGAGAATTTTAGTTGAAGTCTGTTGGATTCAAATTCTCTTTTTAATTAATATTCTCTTAAGTGCTTTAATTAAATTCTGTTTGCTCTTAGATTATGATGCTTTTTAATATTTGGGAACAAAATTCTTAAGCTGAAGTGTTTTGATATCTCTCCATTAACAGGAATCTCTGATAATCAAAATGTGATATTATGCAGGACATTGGAACATTAAACCAGCAGGAATAAGCAAAATTTCCTTAAATTTGAAATTAAAAAATTCTTTTTGCCATAGAATCTCCAACAATCATTGTTTAGTGTACCCACATGTAAACCTAACATGTAAAACATTTATTACACCATAGTTTAGCATGATGTGTATAGTCTATTTTATTATATGTTCTGATACAGAGGCATAGCTAGGGTTTTCAGCACCTGGTGACAACTGAAGATTTTGCACCTCTTTCTCTGTGCCAAGAACGGGAAACATTTCATTCTAAAATTTCGTAACATCTGCGCCCGGGGACAGATGTCCCCCCTTGCCCCACCCTAATTGGCCACTGTTCTGATATATTAGAATTTAGAAAACATTATTTGATCATTTGGCCACATATTTTTAATGCAACTTTGGGTTGCTATTCTGAGGAATTTATTTAATGAAAATCATCTTTGTCTATTTGTATAGTTCCAAAAATGTGATTTTCTTGCACTTCAAAAATTTATATTTTGTATATGTTATTTAGTATTTTTTTCTTTAAGATTTTTCATCATATTATAGTTGTTCTTTTCATGCATTTTAGTGTAAAATAAAAATACATATGCAAAGCAGTAATTCATGTATTGGCATTTATTATATATTGATGTGAAGTGACAAATAAATATGGAAATGAAAATAATGCAAAACCAGTATAATCTTTACTTTCCATTACAGTTTAGCAAAATGAAGCAGAGTATTTGGCCTTAATTGAATGTTTTGCATTTTTTACATTTTAATGATATCGTTGTTTGCATTTTTCATATAAATTTGAATGTTAAAAGGACATGTGTTTAGTATTCTTATTGAAATTATATAATCATTTGCAGTTTTATGTAAATTTGCTGATTTTGTACTTTTTTTCATATACCTTTATTAAAATGTAATATTTTTATGCATTTTAATTTTAGGTGTGGGAATGCACTTTCATATGTTCCAGATAATTTGGCACTTTTGGAAGCACATTTAAAGCGACCTGTTAGAACACATAATATTTTGAAAAGAAAATTAGACATTGCAAAAAAAGTAAATAATAGTTCTAAAGAAGACAAAAACATTGCTGCAAATAAATCTGAACAACTGAATTTTGTAATATATGATAATAATTCAACTCCTGTGCCAAGTGGTGACATTTCTGAGAAACTTAAAAACCTTGTCATTACTGAAAAAAGCCAAGACTTTTGTCTTGATCATTGTTATTTAGAAGGAATTGATTTTACTTTAGCTGATATGATTGTCTTTCCATGTCTTCACTATTTCTTGGTATGTTGTTTTTTCATTTCTAAGACTGTCATGTAAAGTTTATTTAATTATTTATGCTTTAAGTATGTAAATTTTAAAATATGTGAGATGTGTATAAAAGATTTAAATTAATTTTTTTTTTTTTACTGTGTGTATGTATTAAGCAGCATCTGTGAAGTCAAATCACCAAACACAAATTGTGCAGCATAAAGTTGCCAAGTACAAAATACTTGAAAATAACAAAAACATTGCAGAAGAAAGTAAAATGTAAACAAATTGCCCTCACATTTACGTCTTGCTTACAGTTTTTTAGCATACAATTTCTGCAATTTCTGTTAATATCACTTCAAAAGGGTTTTTTTTTTTTTTTCTTATGTACAGGTACTGTATAAATTCTGCTAAGTATGAATCAAATCATGCTGAGGCATACTTAGTAGTCTTTCATTTTTTAATTGAGTTAATTTAATTTTACTCTGCAATAGAATTTTTGGAAATGATCCAAGAGGTACAACATTAAAACTTACAGGAAAAATCAAGGCATTTTTATTGAAATTGGTTCTCTGATTCTCTATTAACTAGCATAAGAAGCAGTTAAAAATGTGTAAAACAGTTGCTGACTTGGATAGTTATGTTACACACTTGAGGTGTTAATTAGTGATTCAATGATCAGTCATGAATCACTAATTAACAATTTTTTCAATGATCAGTCATGAAAGAGATTTTCTTTCTTGGTCCCTGTTATAACAGAAAAGTACCAAATTAAGATTTTATGCAACTTGCTTATTAGTATATTTAATAATTTTTATGAAAATTGTTAAATATTAAATTGTAAATTACTTAAAAAACATGCATTTTTTTTTTTTTTTTTGGCTTTGATTGGTTCATGAAAGTAAAGGACTAGCTAGTATTTGTTAGCTTTTTCCCATAATGCAGTTGATTATTATAGCTGTTTGGTGTAGTTATCGTTTCATCATAATGACTTGGACACCACTTGCCAACTAATGGTAGTATATTTAATCCATTTTTGATAAACGTTTCCTTTAATACCCTTTTAGGTAGTAAAGAGTTGTTATAACCAGTGTCAACTATATATTTTGTGTTATATTGAAGTATAACATCAGTATAGAAACTTCACATAAAGGAAAATATGCTAGCTTTAGAAACAGTGATGATAAATAATTATTACCAAACAGTGTAAAGTGTAATTGAACTCAATTGTATGGCTTCTCATTTGGTACCTGTATGAAACAGAAATAGGTGCCTTTAAGTGAAAAAGGTGCTTGAACTTTTGTGATTGATGAGATAGACTTTGAATATGAAATAGGCTTTGAAATCCAAATTTTTGTAAGGAAGAAAGAAAGTTGAGAAAGTAAAAAAAAAAGTAAAAGTGCCAGGCCTAGCAACTTATGAACCATAGGTCACTCAGGACCCATTTCATAATTTCATCTGACCCTCTTGAGTTCTAAAAATAAAGTATATATATATAAAAATAAATATGAAATGAACATTTAAGGAATACATAACATAATAAGCTGAAAATAAATAATAACAGTACAATTTTTGTTTTATCATGAAGTTGCAGTAATGAGTATGCATTTGTATTTTCAAAAAATAAAAATTTTAACATAATTGTAAGAAAAAATCAATAAGTTTGGCAGCATCGATCCATAATTCCTTGGCAGACATTTGGGAATGCCAGAGTCATTATCTCAGTTGTAGTTCTTTTTCAGTAGCATAAAAATTAATTCAATAGCTAAAAAATTTACTTTGACATTTTGTCTGCTTATAAATATGAGCAAATATTTTCACATGTGAAACTTATTTTAAGAAGAACAGGAGCAGCTTAGGTATGTAAATTTCAGATGCTTGCTTTTGTTTTAAGACAACTATTAGGTTGTCTGCAAAATAATGCAGGTTTATTTACATATATCTTTAAAGTATCATAACTCAACTCAAATGCAATTTTATATCAAAATAAACAGCAGCTGAATCATGCAATTTAGCTAATGAGATATAAGTTTATTTATGGTGGTAGAATAAAATTCTGAAGTTTTGGACATGATAAAGTTGTCAAAGGTGTTTTTGACCTTGTCTTGGTTTCTGAAGCATTTCTTCTGCAGAATGTTATCCAGATGCTTGAAAAAGTGGTAATTGGTTGGTGAGAGATCAGGTGAATATGGGGGAAGAGAGAGAGTCTCGTATTCCTATTCGTTCAATTTCTGTAGGATCAGTTGCACGACGTGCAGCCAAGCATCGTCATGGAGAAGAACTGGCTGCTTTCTGTTGATGAATGCCGAGCACATGCATTGCAACTTTTGGCGCATTTAATTCATTTGCTGACAGTATTTATCTGCCGTAATCGTTTCACCCAGATATAGACAGCTGTGTTAGATGACACCAGCCGTAGACCACCAAACAGTCACCATAATTTTCTTTTGGTGCAAATTTGGCTTCGGAAAGTGTTGTGGTGTCTGACCACGGTCCAGCCACTGAGTCGAATGTCGCCAGTTGTTAGAGAGAATCCACTTTTCATCACATGTAACAATTCGATCAAGAAAAGGATCATTTTTGTTGTGGAGAAGAAGAGAAGACAACACTTTAAAACAGTGTTTTTTTTTGTTTTTTTTTATTTTCGCCCAATATGTGAGGCACCCATTTATCAAGCTTCTTTGACTTTCCTATACGATTCAAGTGATCAGAACTTGTTGTTTTGCTTATGCCAAACTCCTCCACAAGCTCTCGAGCAGTTGTGCACAGGTTTGTTTCAACTTAAGTCTTCAAATCATCATCATCAACAGTTGAAGAGCATCCACGACGCTCTTGATCTTCCAAGTCAAATTCTCCATGACGAAACTTTTGGTCCACCGTTGATCTGTAGATTCATTAACACATTTCTCACCCCATACTTCGTTGACATTTTGTGCCGTTTATGCTGTGCTGTGGCCTAGCTTGTACTCATAAAAGTAAATTTGCAGAAAATCCCATCTTGACATCTAAGCAAAAACACCTAGTAAATTTTGTTAAAAATAATTTTGGAACAAAATGATTATTATAGAAATATAGAGCAAAAATAGAGGTTCAAAATGATATATAAACCAGTGTAATTCAAAATATTTTTGTTGCTAAAAATGTACAGAAGAGATAAACAATTGCTAAAACCTGCATTATTTTCCGGACAACCTAATAACTGTAAGCCAGACTTGATTAAACCTAAGTCACAAGCTCAGCACCAGGGGAGCAATTGATACTGAAGAGCAAAATAAAGTTCATTCAGTTATATTTGTTTTTATAATAATCAGAATTTTAATTTTTATAGTAAAGCATATTGTAATTATCTTTTCAACAAAAGCTATTTTATTCACCAAAAAAAGACCTTTAAAATGAAAATGCCATTGACCTGAAATGTCTTTCTAATACACGCATTTTTGTTGACTTTGACCTACAGATAAAAAAAAAAGTTACTAATGCCTGGTTTTTGGAGTTGTTAGTCTAAAATATCTACTACTATATAAACTTGTTGCCAAGATAATTTTGTATGGCAAAATTAACTGATAAATAACTTCAATTAAAGTCATTTACTTTAACTATATGGACCATATACTTAAATTAAGAATTACTTTCTCATATACAAAGTTTTAAAAACTATTAAATTAACCCTTGAACAGAAGCTTATATTACATAAACAGTCATGTAGTACATAAAATGTGGTGCTCAAAATTTTTTATTAGAAATGCATTAAGATGGTATGTATTATTCTGATATTTATTAGTATGTTAAGCTTGAAAGAATAACTCAATATTATATTTCAGTAACAACCTTCTTGTAAATATATTTTTACATGGTATTTATGCTATTTAGTTATATTATGATTGCATAGAAAAAATCCATCATTTTGCTGTAGCATTAACAATTCATTTTAATTATTTCTTTCATCTTTATCTGAGCTCACTTATTTCTTCACAGTCTTCTTAAAGTGAATAAATGTTTTCATCGGTCAAACCTCTACACCTTGGCCTTGCTTGCAAAAAGGGAATTATTTTTAAAAATTCAGGAATTTTAAATTTATAATTTATAAATATGAATTTAAATGCAAAGCTGATGTTAAAAAAATTAGTAGCAAAATATTTTTAAAATAGGGAAATAATAAATGAAAAAAGTTGCATTATGAAACCAGTAAATATTAATAAGAAGCTAAAAACTGAAAATGAAATTGAATTCAGAGTCCAAAATGCAGTTTTTACTTGTTTTATGGAATAGAAAATTAGGGGGGAAAAATACTCACGTGACCAACTCTGCAGTTTGGATCACATAAAAGTAAGTCTGTAAAATAAACTCTAAATGGAACTGAAACTTTCAGTCACAAACTATCCAACTAGATAAGCAATAAATTATTCTATGTGCATTAGTATCACAATCTGGAATGAATAGCTTTTGCTACTCGTTCAAGTATTCTCAAACTTCAAATCTATTTGCTATTATAAAATTCTTCTTAGACCTCTATTATATTAAACCATCAATTGCTTTGAGATATAGCTTCAGCATTTTGGCATTATATGTAACAGTATTTACTGCTGTTGTCACCTGCAGGAATTAAGAATTTTAATCAGTGGAATATATCTTTATTTAGTAATCACTTGTGTGAATAACTTAGCTGACACCTCTGAAAATAATTGCTCTAGGTAGTTGTTTGCAAATGTTTAAAGCAGCATTGTTTGCTATTATATAGCTTTGTTTCAAAAAGTTTATTTATATATTAAAAAGGAGCTTTTCTTGAGCACATCAGTTTATCTTTACTTTAGTTAACCATGTCTTTTGTAACTATTTGTACATGGGAGAAACATTACTACAGATCTTTTCTTTTAGAATACTCTTCCATCCCAAAGCTGGATTCATTTGGCAAATGTAATTAAATGGCATGAAAGAATGCTGTCTGATACGTATGTTAAACAAGCAGCAGAGAAATGTGGTTTGTCCATTACTGGTTGCAAAACTGAATTATCAAGTACTGGAGGTATTATATTTCCTCAAATAGACCAGACAAGTTTATATAAAAGGTAGCTGAAATTTCTACTCATTATGCACATATGAAGTTTTCTAAATATTTTATTATCTTGAAGGAAATAATACTTTTAGTATTTCCTGACTATTGATTCTTTAAATTTTTGATATTTGCCTAGTTTATCAACTTTTTTTTTTATTTTCATATCTAATGGATGTTGTAAAAAAGTAGTTTATTTGTGTAAATTTAGTGTGGATGTTCTTCATTTTAAATACTTTTATTAATAATTTCATTTTTTCACATTCTAGGGATCCTTCACAAAATAAAATAAAATGTAAGCATCAAAGTCCAGATAGAATATTGTCTCTTTTGCAAGTAAGTGTATATTCTTTATTTTGACAGTTTATTATGATGCATTTTGTATTGGCTTGTTTTAGAAGAATGTTGTATGTTATGTAATATTATACAGTGGCTGTTGTCGTAATTTACATCTACAGAATTCATTTTTGACTGAAACAATGGGAAGAGAACTGCATGAGCAAAATATTTACAGCAGAATGGTTACTGTAAAATCCATTGTACCACAGGAGAAAAAGAAAATAGAAACTGCAGTATTGTTAAGAACATGAAATTAGAATGTTGCTCCAGGCAAAAACTTATCTCAGACCAATAAATACAATTCTTCCACCCAGGACATGTTTACATGTGAGAAACATCTATATCTTATATATCTTTGTTTTAAAAAAATTATTAAACAGCTTAGTCTGTCTTCAGGCTATAGTAAATTATGGTCAAAGTTCTTTCACACTTTCGAAAATCCATTCATACCTTTTTATAGTTTCAGCTAGCCCCATTATCTACTTGAAAGAAATGGTAACTAACAACAAAGGTGATCATTGATCATTTTGAGCAATAATGCCTATTTAGTGAAGCAGATATTATTTCCCACCAAAGGACTGCTTTTCAAAATTACTTTCTGATTCATAGAGCTATTAATGTTTAGGATGTAGTTGCATACTTTCTGTAGCCTTCACTATCACTAGATTTATCTACACACAAATTATTATGGTTTTTATTGGAAAATAGAATAAAGTTCTGCTATTCTGTTTGGTTATCCAGGACTTTTATGTCTGTTCCAAACACGATTCATGCTGTTTTAAATGCCAGAAGTGATCTTAAATTATATTAAGTGCATTATACTCTTCCTTTTCCCAAATGCTTCCATTCTTTTTTGGTCTACCTATGTGTGTATCGAAGTTCTAACATCTAAGATCTAAAGCCATTTTGTCTTTAAAATGATCTTGTAAGATTAACTGGAAGCTCTGTCTCTGGCTTATGCTAAACATTTTAACACAACTGGACCAAGGTTATTTATCCAAGAACCTGCCAAAATGCACCACTCGGGAAGATCACTTCTTCCAGCATGTACTTCGATCCTCCCCATCCATTTACAGAAATTGTTTAATGTTTCTCGATATGGTAACCCTGCCAGGCTGAGTTCCAACTATTGAATTTAGCAATCTGCCCTTGCACATGTACTACTGTGTTATGTCCATTTAAGTAAATTCAGATATTTTGAGGCGAACAACTAAAAACAATTATAGCAAGGTTCTTTTTCAGCTTTTAATTTTTAAGTTTTTCTTTTTCATTTAATAATTGTTCTATATAATTTTCTTTGCTTATTTTAATTTTCCAGAACCAAAGTAGATATTTTTCTTTTCCTTTTTTTCACCCATTCCTATTTTAAAATAAAATAAGATAGGACTTTAACTTGTAAGTGAGACTATTCATAAAATGTTGAGTAACTTATATGAATAACTAAATCATATTTTTGAAAATTTTGTGTAGAGTTCTACCAGTTGTTCTTTCACCTTAATTTTTCAATTTATTTATTTTATGAGTATTATATCTCAAAAAGTGTTTTGATTTTAAGTTTTATGTATTTTGTTCTCAGAGTATGAATAGCATGTCAGGGAAGCTTGGCGGCAGTTGGGAGACTATTTGAGATATTATTTTGTAAAAAAGGAAATTTATTTAATATGGTTTAAGGTCTTATGTTGTCAAGAGGAATGAGACATGTTGTTCGGCACTCATTAATGAAACCAATTTGGTGTTTCAAATACTTACCCCTTCACAAATTATGCTTGAAACATTAAATAGGAATAATTAATATTTTTTTTATCATTTTTCTTTTTGCATTGCTTTTCATTATTGGTTTTTTTCATTGCTTTTGTTATGTTAATTTTTATTTTTATGATTACATCACTGTTATAACAAATTTTAACTTTCCACACAAAAAGCTTAACTAAAAATTTTTTTCACCTGTACTACTTAGGATTTTAATTTATACCGTACACCTTTGTCCTTAGATAGGGTGATCAAGGTTTCTCTTTCTTTAGAACTCAAATTTATATATATATATATGTATGTAAAGTGTAAAATATGCAAGCTAATTATGAACTTTAATTTGACAACAGTCCCTTTTCTTTCTCATTTTAATTTGGTTACTTCACCTTTCTGTCCTAAAAACAGTAAGTGTTTATAATATATGAATTTGAAGTGCTCCTGTTTTCTTTTGTAATCCTGCATTGTGGACACCTCTTATCCAATCACAGATAAGATACCTTTTGCCTCTCCTGTGGTTTTTCTGAATGCATATGCTCTTTCTTGCTTAGTCTCGCTGTGCAAACACATGCTGCTTATCTCTTTGTTTCGCCCATTGTCTAAGGATGTACCATATTTATTCACGTAATAGTCACACTGTTTTTTGCAATTTTTCATTGTGAAAGTCTAAGTGCGACTGTTGTGGGGGGAAATCTACTGCACAGTATTGTATGCTTCTGATGATTTTTTCTGCTTCAAAACAGGGTGCCCCTATTATGCGAGTAAATACGGTAAACTTCAAAGAATGTTGTGAAGATTGGGAGCATATTGCACACAGGATAATGTGTGAAGGATATATATCTCAAGAATTAATTATCCAGTAATGAACTTATATGATGTATTTACAGTCACATCTATCTGCAAGTCTCTTCTTTGCTATGCATCATTGAAACTACAGTAAAACAATGGCTAATCTTTGGAATATGGTAACAGGTAGTTTGGCAACATTTTGGTAAGGTGATAAAGGTTACTAGCTAGGACTTTAGCAGTGTAGATAGATAGAGTGAAGAGTGTGCGCAATGCCTTTTTTGTGCAATTCTGGAATGTTTTTTTAAGTGAAAATAGGTCAACGTGTATGTGGATACCGTGTATGTGCCATTCTTAAAAACGCGGCAAGCAGTTTGCGATTCTGCACTTTCTCCCAATTTTGCACCTAATCTTTGTCATGATTAAGCACTTTTGTTCCATGAAAATTCTGGCATAAGCGTAATTCAGCTAGCAGATTGTTGGAAAAAAATGTTGAGTTAAAAAAAAAATGCCTTTACTTAGTGAAAACAAAATGGCATCCAAACAAAAACTGGCAGGTTGCTGTAGCAGGGTTGGTCGCCAAATTTTCGCCAAAAAATTGCCAAGTTACCATAATCCAAAGATAACCCAAAACAACTTCTGAAATCCATTACAGCTGTTGCCCAAATATCAGGTATTACAGTTGTGATATATATATATTCACCCAAATATTAAGAATTATAGTTGTGTCATATAGTATATAATATATATATAAAAACGGCAAGTACTGTGTGTGTATATATATATATATATACACACAACAGTACTGCCGTTTATTCAAATTACTTTCATTTCAAATTCCAACATATTACAGTTTATGAAGTAACTGAATTTATTAGATGATGATTTATATATTGCAAATCATGATATTTATTTTACTACAGAAGTTTAAAACTGATACATAATGACTAAATCCAATAATTAATGCTAAAATAAAATTAAAAAATTATTTCTAAAATTAAATTACTTATGCAGTTTTGAAATTTATTTTTTATATTTTATTGTAAAAGTATTTTTATAGTCATGTTCTTAATGAAATTTTTAACTTTTACCAACAGTTGCTCTATCTTTGTTTATTTTTTATTGCTTATTAACAGTTTTGAGTTATATTCTCAATGTCGTAAAACTATAAGTTTTACTTAGAATTTGCCTCGCTTTTCTAGATTCAATTGGTCTTGGCACATCACTACTTTTTTTTTTCTTTTTTCTTTTTGGTGCCACTTTTTCTGATAGTTTCTGCAGTTCATTTTCACAAGATTCAATTATATTTATAATTTCTTACCATCTTTCCTATAATGAAATTAGCAAACTTTTATAATATCCTGGTCTAAAGACTGACTACAGTCAAAAGTCGTTAATTCGGACACCCATAATCCGGACCTCAAAGGTACAAACTTTCTGCGCATGCGTAGACGTTTACGAGACGCATGCAGGCGTTTACGAGAGCGCGTAAGACCTTTACGGCTGCTAATATGTTTGTGCGCATGCGCATTTAATGTGTAACGGAGGTATAAGCTGAGCTAAAATTATCTAATTCAGTTAATGTTGCAGATTGCGTTGTTCCTTAATCTTCGAATTGGATCCGGCTTATATTTTTTTGCAGACTGTTAGAGCAATTTCATAAAAGTAAGCTTGAACTTTCGATTATGTCAAATAGAATTTCCGATATATATTTACTAATATGTAATTTGTATCTACAAAGCGAAAGTATGTTTCGAAATCCGAAATCTGTTTATCAATTTCACCCCGAGGATTGGAAGTTGATCTGTCAGCACTATCCTTATCTTGAGGGCAGATGTTTTTATTTTATTTGGCTTATAATTCCTTACTAAGAGTAGTATTTTATCTCGATGTACTTCGTCTTTGATATGATTTAAATCAAGTTCCTCGTGATTATAATTCGCTTCCGATAGTGAAGAAAGTGACCCAGAGGTTATCGAAAACGAAAACATTTCGATTGACAAGTAAGTCGGTATTCTCGGCACAGCAATTACGGGACTTGAACAGCGGAACTTTGTAACCGAACAAGAAATTATGTCTGTTTATAGAATTAAAGAGAAAGTATTATCACAGCAAACGAAGCAACTTAAACAACTTACATTGAAAGAAATGTTTAATAAAGTAAACAAATAAATATTAAGGTTTTTTTTTTTTTTGTAAATTTTGATACCCTTTAGATCATAATTGTTCTTTATTTCATAAATTACGGTTTCATATTTTTAATTTTATAATTTCTGCATGCCATCTTACCAGATTTAAACTGATGATCTATAATCTGGAATCCCCGAAGTCCTGACGAGTCCGGATTAATGACTTTTGACTGTAATAGAAGTTATATTTTTACGAAGAGACACTAATGTATTTCAGAAAGAGATCAGAGATGTGTGTCTGCTGCACAGTTATCTAAGTAGCAAAGCTATTTCTTC